GACACATTTGGCCAAGCAAGCGTGAAATTGAAAAATTACAATGCCTCTTGCATCATGGTCTACTGTTTAAAACCATCAGCATCATATCAGGGTAAAGCGACATCGAACTCAGGGGACGACATTTGTCACCATTAAAAAAAATTGTAACCCACAAAATTTATTCATAATTTTTCAAAAATGTTGATCAAAAATTATCAGAAAAATATAAAAAAATCATAAAAAAATGTAAAATGTTGCACTGAAAATGGGGCAGAAAAAATTCCTGCTCAAAAGGTTAAAGATGTGAGTAGAAATATTCATATTTCAACATGCTGATTTCTACCTTTCTGCTTGGCTGGCCAATCAGAAATGAGTACTGTAGTGACTCAATGATAATTCATCCAATCAAATAATTCAGTTAACTATTTTTTGGGACAGATAATTTTTACACATATTCATGTTGCAGAGCCACACACGAGTCCAGTTTATTTTATATTCTCTCTACAAGGATATTTTTTGCAAATCTATTCATGTTGCTGGGCCACACACAAGTCCAGTTTATTTTATATTCTCTCTACAAGGATATTTTTTGCAAATCTATTCATGTTGCTAGGCCACACACAAGTCCAGTTTATTTTATATTCTCTCTACAAGGATATTTTTTGCAAATCTATTCATGTTGCTGGGCCACACACAAGTCCAGTTTATTTTATATTTTCTCTACAAGGATATTTTTTGCAAATCTATTCATGTTGCTGGGCCACACACAAGTCCAGTTTATTTTATATTCTCTCTACAAGGATATTTTTTGCAAATCTATTCATGTTGCTGGGCCACACACAAGTCCAGTTTATTTTATATTTTCTCTACAAGGATATTTTTTGCAAATCTATTCATGTTCAATACAAACTGTAGAATACATAATTTTCATTTGTAATTTATTTTCCTTTTTTCACTGAAGGAATGCTTCAGTGAAAATAAAATCCAGTGAATATACTTTTTTTCCTATATTTCACATTCAACTCATCAAAAAATAAATTCTTCACAAAACACCTGAAAATTAATTCCAGCTAAAATAAAGTATTTTACAGTATATACAACTAAGCTCAATCTAAGCAAATAACAACGAATAAACGGCAAGGTAAATACTACGTCAAATTATAGTAACCACGTACTGCGTGTGTGACTCGAACCGGCGCTCGCGTACGGCACCTAACCTGGTTGTGTCACAAAAGAAGTTCACAGATTGTTATCTAGAATGTCATCAAGGATGAGTTGAACACAATAGATGACAATCACACAGGACACAAGTAGTCAGACTTTAGCAGAATAATAAGGTTATCTAAATATAAGAGATTCAACAAGTAGCAGTTGGTTTATAGAATAAACCGAGTTGTTTGGATTAATACATTGCTGCCGGTTGTTTTTTCTCTTTAACAAACAATTAATATTTAAATTATTAATTAATATTTAAATTAGATTAATTAGATACTGTATTCGATCTTATTGACTTAGAAAACTAACCAGACTTTCAGACGCTGTATCTACTTGACGTATGGTGACTCAATGTTCACTGTAAGGTCACTGACCTTTAAAGAATCTGGGGGTGTTAGATGTGGGAATAAGGGATCTACATATGTGTGACAACAAATTAGGAACTATATGTTTTGCCATTGGTGGAAGGATACATGGAAATACCAGTGGGAGCTGTGATAAGGCTTTTGCACATTTTGCGTATTGATATTATGCTATGTTTATGTGGTTCGGCCTTGAGTTTAAAAAATAAACACAGTTTTTAAGGATTTCAAAATGGTTACGTCATAATCTTAACAATATGAGATAGAAAATTAGAGGTTTGTCTACGGTCAAATTGATAAAGCACGTACTAAATGCAATTCAAATTTTGAACCACTGAGCATGTTACTGCACATGTATGAAATGCATTATGGGAGTTAACTTCAAATTTTGAACCACTGAGCATGTTACTGCACATCATGCAATGCATTGCATTATGGGAGTTAACTTCAAATTTTGAACCACTGAGCATGTTACTGCACATGTATGCAATGCATTATGGGAGTTAACTTCAAATTTTGAACCACTGAGCATGTTACTGCACATGTATGCAATGCATTATGGGATATAACTTCAGATTTTGAACCACTGAGCATGTTACTGCACATATATATGCATTGCATTATAGGAGTTAACTTCAAATTTTGAACCACTGAGCATGTTACTGCACATGTATGCAATGCATTATGGGATATAACTTCAAATTTTGAATCACTGAGCATGTTACTGCACATATGTGCAATGCATTATGGGAGATAACTTCAAATTTTGAATCACTGAGCATGTTACTGCACATATGTGCAATGTATTATGGGAGATATATTGAGTTAGTCATCTTGAAAAACATCTTAAAATATAACTATGGATTTGAAAATTAGTTTCAGCTGGAATTAATTTTCTTTGAAAAGATTTTTTGAGTATGGAGTTTATTTTCAATGATTTTTGACAAGTCAAATGTAAAATATAAGAACAAAGTATATTCGATGGATTTATTTTTTTTACTGAATCTTCCTTCTGGCAAAATTATCGAAAATTATTTCCAAGTGGAATTAAGTATTTTACAGGTAATGCTTTATTTCAAAAAAACAAAGTGTTAATATTTTTCATAAATCTTTAGTAGTCCAAGTGGGCTACTAATTTTGAAAAACGGTTGCCCTAGGATAAAATTTGGTAGTCTGTCTGTTAATTAAAATCCATGTAATGACTTCATAATGTGCATGACCCCCTAAGCTGATTAAAATAAAGATATATTTTAATTAACTGATGCTGGTTATACGCTCTTATACATCTCATCAACTACAATTTGGGGGCGGAGCTACATCCCTGAACGTTCTATGTTGCTAAGACGAGCACTACTGTGCCATGTATTTCTATGGACTCTGTGCAAGCGGCTGTGGAACAGAAAGTCGAGAATACAGCACCAACTTAATTTTGAAGTAATCCCGAGCAACCAAATTCATATATGTTGCACATGTAGGGCTAATCTTGTTACACTGTTCAGGGGAGTCTCAACAATCATCCCAAAGTACTGTTTTCTGAGAGTTTTCGGCCTTTGTTTTCATCATGATGGTTGCTATAAGCGTTGAAAATGCCTGAATGTCCACCCCCAAGAATAGGAGATACTGTAAAATACTTTATTTTCGCTATTTTCGCTGAAGGGATGCCTCAGTGAAAATAAAATCCAGCGAATATACGTTTTTCCCAATATTTCACATTCAACTCATCAAAAATCAGTGAAAATAAATTCCAAATAAAACACCCAAAAAGCCTATTCAGCGAAAATTAATTCCAGCTAAAATAAAGTATTCTACAGTATTTCATTCCTGCGATCACTTGAATACTAAAGAACTCAATCCATCCCAGAATGCTTCACTTCCAGAATGCGCCGTAGCACATTGCTTACATACAAAGCAGCGCTTTGTTTTGTAAGATTGTCAAATCTGAACAAGTGGGGGCAAGGGTTATTTTTGTTCAAAGTAATTGCAATATTTTTTTGTCCGTACAACGTAAATTGAAAAAATAAATTCCGTAATTCTGTAATCACAGGCTAGACGTACAATGTAGTCAATCAAATATTTTGTTCGTACACTGTAAAAATGTGTAATTTTTTTCGGTACGTACAGGAATTTTGTAGGTTTTCTTTTTTAATTTTCCGTAAAATGTAAAATAACCTTTTATTTTCAATTTTCACTGTAAACTGTAAAAACGTCTTTTTTTCCTTGTAAATTGTAAAAGCCCTTTTTATTTCCCGTAAAACTGTACCAGCTACCCCCTTCGCCCCCCCTGAACAAAGTGACATAGGGGGGTTGGGCTGGGTGCCCTGGGGTGGGGTTGGGCTTTCACAATAAACACAATAAAAGTAATTATATAAATTGTACTCAAAAGCCGAACAAATAAATTTAATTTTAATCAGATTGAACCCCTCACCCCCCCCCCACATACACAGAATGGAATAACCCTGCTTTATTATCTATAAAAGGTCAAACCTTTAATTATTGAATTATGTGGGTGTACCGCATTATATATTGATGGGCATCTCACCACTAGAGAATTGATATCTGGAATGTGATGAAAATTTAATTGCCGCTCACTTAAAATAAACTATCTTCAAGTATTTTTGTTGTTTCTTCTCGGGGGGGATATCTGGGGTTGAATATAAGGAATTGAATCAGTGAAGGAAATTCTTATTCTTCCTTGTGCTGTTTACACAACAGGTAGGAATATGTTAACAAGTTTCTAATTTTAATTATTTTTTTTAAATTTCTATGGGATGATAAGCATCGTCAAAATTGTGTCACATTTGTTGAAACACTATGAATAATGTATTTAATTATTTTAGTGATAATTAGCGTAGCAATGTATATGTGGCGGGTATTCATGAAATTATGGTTACAATGTTGCAATATTTTTAGGAAAATGTTCGTTAATTGAAATCAACAGGCATTTGTATCATATGACATTGTTTTTGTAGGTTTCACACCATAATTAGAATTTGTGGCAAATACAACTGTGATATACTTTATTTCAGCTGGAATTAATTTTCGCTAAAAAGACATTTTTTGTGCTTTGTATGGAATTTATTTGTCCCCGTTCAGTTCAGACGAAATTCTTTGACCGGATTTCATTCAAAACTTGGCATACAGTCATTGTCTTTGTAGGTTTCACACCATAATTAGAATTTGTGTCAAATACAACTGTGATATACTTTATTTTAGCTGGAATTAATTTTCGCTGAAAAGACATTTTGGGTGTTTTGTATGGAATTTATTTTCACTGATTTTGACAAGTTGAATCTAAAATATAGGGAAAAAAGTTACATTTGCTGGATTTTATTTTCACAGAATCATTCAAAAATTATTTCTAAGTGAAAATATAAAAAATTCTACAAAATTCCTATTTAAAAAAAATTTGAAATGCTTGTATTTTAAATTATTCTATTTCCTATTATGCAAGAATTACCAGGCCTTACGTTTATGAGTGAAATTTTAGCGTCAAAACTCTTTTTAAACTGTTTTAAATGGCGAAGTGATACGTTTAAAGTGAGTAGTCAGCCGAGTAAATTTTTTTATTCCTGCCATTTGACAAGTTTTGAATTCGGGCGTTACCTTAGAAACTTGCTTGCTTGGTGGTGGGGGTCACCATGTAAACTTTCGATAACCCAGCAGAATGGAAACGAGTTATTAAATTGAGTGAGGTAGAAATCACCCCCCCCCCCTCATTCTTACAATTATACCGACTGATGGCCTGGTGCTGCGGATTGTAGTTTATTTTCCCAGAATTCATTGCGGCTAGAACATTATAAAATAGAACTCTGTGTGGGAGATTAACGTACTCTATTCATTAAACGTTTCAAAGTCAATCGTCGGTCAGCACGTATTTTACGGGTATAATAAATCGTTTCAGTGATTTCTTTACTAAATAATGATTCATGAAACTATTATTCTGTTATTATAGAAACTGATAACTATTATTTTAGGAACTGATAATTAATATTGTACCAAACTATTTCCCAAAATTCAGACTTTTGAATTTGTATTTGAATTTAAAATGCGTGTCACAATTTTTTGTGTAGTCTTGGGCCAAAAACACATCTGGCCATAGTAGTTTTCTCTCTAAGAATCATAGAGGGAGCTATAACATCATATTTATTACATTTTCTTTTTTTTTTAATTATCTGTAGTGTTTGTCTCCTGGTCAGCTGTTCCATATATATGGTTTCCACCCCTGGGAAAGGCTTGATGCATCCCAGTTTTTAAAGATTTGCCCCATATTGGTGCAGCAGCTAGACAGCCACATGTGCCATCAAGAAGACCATACTCATGGGGAGGAATCTGTTCAAATTGAACAGCATGGTGGATTCGCTGCTCCATTAATTGGTAATGCCTCCTGCAAATATTTTTAAATGTTATTTAGTATGAATGTCTGTGTTAGCTTACTAAGATTTTAATTTGTCTGAAAATAGAGGTAATCCAGTTTGACACTGAAAAAGTTTGTTTACTGGGTCATTGAAAAGTGCTCAAGATGACCAAACTTTATCACATAGCTAACAAGCCAATCAGGAAACAGGTTGTGTAGATACCTGTAGAAGTGATTTGAAAGACAGTATTTGATTGGCTACCGAATCATGTAACATAGCTGACAAGCCAATCAGGAAACACATTGTGTAGATGGAATTGATCTGAAAGACAGTATTTGATTGGCAAACAAATCATATAACATAGCTGACAAGCCAATCAGGAAACACATTGTGTAGATACATGTAGAATTGATCAGAAAGACAGTATCTGATTGGCTAATAAATCATAGCTGACAAGCCAATCAGGAAACACATTGTGTAGATACCTGTAGAAGTGATTTGAAAGACAGTATCTGATTCGCTAACTAATCATATAACATAGCTGACAAGCCAATCAAGAAACACATTGTGTAGATACATGTAGAAGTGATTTGAAAGACAGTATCTGATTCGCTAACTAATCATATAACATAGCTGACAAGCCAATCAAAAAACACATTGTGTAGATACATGTAGAATTGATCAGAAAGACAGTATCTGATTGGCTAACAAATCATAGCTGACAAGCCAATCAGGAAACACATTGTGTAGATACGTGTAGAAGTGATTTGAAAGACAGTATCTGATTGGCTAACTAATCATATAACATAGCTAACACGCCAATCAGGAAACACATTATGTAGGTATGAGTGGCTACCTAAATTATTCACCTCCCCTTGTTGGTCCAATACAACTTCTGACTTTTGTATTCTAAGTAAATTATTGCACCTGGCGAACTCTGTTGACCAATCACATTAGACCACAGTGTCATATACTGTAAAAACGATTGTTCAAGGCATAAATCTTGAAAAATGCTTCTCGCTTGCATTTCACAGTTGAGTCATAACAAGAATTTAATACATCAAAAAAACCTGTCAACAAATAAGCTGCTCTCTGATTGGTCTGATTGTTAGGTGTTAGAGTTGGGTAGCCAATCAGGCACAATCTTGCACGTAGCTTCACATTTACTGGCATTTTGGGCTGCTACGATTTAATTACAAAACTAAGACTATATACGTTGACAAAGACGTATATAAATAAGGTTATGAAAAAAAGTACAGAAGGTATGCATTCAGGCAGTACTGAATCTCATCATGAGATTCAATTAACATGAACGATTTTTTTTTTCAGTATGGGGTTACGGTTTTCTTTCAATCACCGTTATCAGTGCCGTTTCATTGATGGGTATTATGACGGTTCCCTTGACGAGACGATATCCCAAGCTGTATAAACGTGTTCTGTCATACCTAGTAGCGTTGGCTGTCGGTTCTCTTTCGGGCGACGCATTGCTGCATTTAATACCACATGTAAGTAACATCCAATTATTTTCTGGACAAATATGTCAAAAAGTAAAAGTTGGTGATCCATAAAAAGGAAAATTCAATCTCTATATAAAGACACCTGTTTATAATGACCATTTAATAACTTCTTCTGCTTTAAAAAACTTTACTGTAAATGCGTTAAAGCGGGAGGGTCGTCACCTGCGCACGCGTGGGAATTGAGTTCCAAGCGACGCACACACGCTAAAAACGCAAAAGCTCATCGATAGACGCTTGTTTGTAAACAATGACACGCTATGGCCATCTGACGCATACGCTGGTGACGACCCCCCCCCCCTTCTCGCTTTAATTATTTACTGGGTTTTAATTTCGCTATTATTATACAGCTAAATTAAATAACAATACAACTCATTGTTTCCTCGACAAATTCGTGAAATTAAAATACAGTAAAAAAAAAAAAAACATCAAATTTAAATGTCAGTGAAAATAAATGCTTTCACAGTAGGAGTATGCGTAGCTGTGTTGGTATACTGTTATTGCAGAGATTGGGGAATAAATATGTCAGAGATAGGATGGCTGTGTACTTTTTTATTCTGTTATCTTCTGTTTTGCTGATGTGTTTATATTACCAAACTGTGTCTTCTGATGCAATGGTAGTGTAATTATTATTATTATCACCGTAACGACATAAGTTACAGCGTGCTGTAATTTTGCGTTATTTTACGAGGTATTTATGGAATGATAATGCACTACGCCATCGATTTGACCTCCTCTGCGTGTCGGCCGATACTGCCGCTATACTGTCTTTGTGCATACTTTGAGGTACTCATTCTTCTTTTTCTTCTTTTTCTTATTATTATTATAGTAATGATAAATAGTGGGGCTTTATTTTACAGGTCTGCCATTTTGGATACTACAGTCCTTATTTGGAAGTTACATTTTCTAATAGATTTTATTTGAATAAATGGCCGCCGAGATTTCATGGAATACAAGAGTTCACTAGACTTGGCTTTGTCTTTCAAATATTGTATTATTCTCTCTCGTCATCACGTCCACCAGTCTCCTGACCTATGTAACCATGGTATTTTGCTTGATGGAGATAGAGAATAGAAGACTATTTGTGGAGCAAAAACCAGTCATGTGACTCTCTCACTCTCAACGAAATCGCCATTTGCAACTAAGTCCCGTTTTTATTTAAATCAAGAAGTTCTCTGTAAATGATTTTTTATACAAGATTTTATTTACTGCTCTAATCTGACTGTTTTTGTTTTTTTGTTTTTTTTGTTACTCTACAGTCTTTTGATAGCCATGACGATGGACCATCATCTCACAGTCTTGATCCAGTTTATCGAGGATTAATAGTTTTATTTGGAATCTATTTTTTCTTCATGGTTGAGAGGATAATGAATCTCGTAAATGGAAGAAAGAAAAAACGGGTGAGTGGCGCCCTCGTGTGTCAGTTGAGGTAGATATGATTACTGTAAATTACTTTATTCTCACTTAGAATTTAGTTTCGTTTGAAATATTATTTCAGCGAAAAATTAATTTTACAGTATTTTACTGTACATTACTGTAAAAGCATTAATTTTTATTGGAACTTGATTCATACTTTGATGATTCTGTGTATATTTCCCATGAAAAATCAGTAAAAATAAATTCTATTCAAAATACCCAAAATGTCTTTTCAGCGAAAATTAATTCTACAGTATTTTGCAGTACATTACTGTAAAAGCATTAATTTTTAATGGAATTTTATTTAAATTTTTTTGATGTTTTTATCATATAAACGGGAGTATATTATTATTAAATTAATTTCATTGTGAGAGTTCAATTTCACGATGTCATAGGTCAAATCAAAGATTTATGAGAATAATGGTATGTAAATTTTGAGAAATATGCGATGAAGAACTTGTGTGAATTGTCGAAGTCACACATGATCACAAAATCACGCCACAAGCTTACATTTCTAGAAATGCTAATGTGATTCTTTAAAAACAATTGTTAGTGTTCATCTTGGGCTGTTTTGTTCTTGTAAATAAATTAATATGCCGTTAATCTCACTCATACATAAGCGTACACTGCATGGTTTATTGCCATTGGTTAAAATACATTTGGGAGGAAGAAGGAATCTGCAGATGTTCCCCCAAATGGGGGACTTTTTTGAGCCAGATTTTTTTGAAATGTGGTTTCTCTTGAAACAAAAGATATTGGAGTCTATAATTAAACTCAAAACACAAGTTTATACCATTAATTCAAGATCTTACGGTATCTTTTTAATTTTTTTTTACCGTACTTCCTCGAGTATGAGCCCAGGGGCCTGAACATGTAAAATCGAGAAAATTAGGGGGTGGGCTTATACTCGAGGACCACCTCAGAAACGATTATTGTTTGGGGGATTTCAAATTGTAACCATCTTCCCAACCACGAAAAATTATCCAAATTACATTTTTCATTCACAGCGCTGGTCTCGGAGAAATATTACGTATTTTTGATTTTCGTGCCACTTTTTACAATGATGAAATAAATGTGTTAAAAATACACACATTTTATTACAATACGGTTTACATTCCGTCTGAATTTACAATGCAAAAATGGGCAGAGTCTGTGGGAAAACAGTCGAAGGCAAGATCATTATCATTATCTTCTTTGTGGAATGTTTTTGATCGTATGCAAACTCTCTTCCCGCCATGATGTTTTTCATCATGATTTGACCTGAACAACTCCTTTGACCTAACAGGTCATGTCCTTCGTTAACCAATCAAAATGCTGTGTCGTACAGACGAAGTTTTCCGATTATTGACGAAGTAATTATTCAACGCAATGCAGAAGTGAATTACCGCGATGTTAAAATGCGATCTGATTTCGACAACAAAAACGAAGATTTTTCCAAAAACTGTTGATTCACAATTTTCGAAAGGTAAACTGAGGGTGGTAAAACATCGGGCAGGAACCAAACTACCGTACCAATCACGATTATCATGCAATGAAATATACTTTTTACATGCATATTTTAATAAATGTGTCGACGCCCGGTAAAAACACCCTGGGCTTATACTCGGGGATGCCCTCAACTTGTTAAATGTCTAAAAACAGTGGGGTGGGCTTATGCTCGGGCAAGTACGGTAATATCGGAAAACTGAATCCATATTTTATTTTTCTATCTAATAAGCTAATAAACAAAGATAAAAATAAACTCGGCCATTATTGGGTTTCTAAATTGGTGCATGTATAAATTACTTTTTGTTTCAGAAAAATCGCAGGAAATTTAAAGGCAAATTTTGGATATCTTATCAGAGTGAATCAGTTGGTGCTAAACTTAACAAGCATGAGGAAAGGTACAACTCATTGCAGTACATACAAATGATAACGGTGCACAAAGGTACAGGTACGGAAATTCTTTTTTTCTTTCTTTTTTTTCTTTTTACAGGTCTTTATACACAAGTTGCTCATACATTATGCCCTGAGACTGTCTAAAAATGGTCACTATAGGCAAGTGGTCTTTATACACAGGTTGCCCATACATTATGCCTTGTGACTGCCTAAAGGTGGTCACTATAGGCAGGTGAGGTTGTCCATATACACAGGTTAGTCTTACATTATGTCTTGGGACTGCCTAAAAGTGGTCACTATAGGCAGGTGA